TTTTGTGACTTTTTTAGTATTTGTTTCAGTTTAATATTGAATTTAGTTCACATATTTTTTGTGTATATATTTTAAAACATAATTTTTCTTTTAAAAAATTAAGCGACAAAGAGCCTAATTAAACCGATCCAAAAACAAACCGAACTGAATATAAATTGAACTGGACATAAACCACACCGAACCAGACTAAATAAGGTTTGTTGCAGTTGAAAAAAAAAATATTAAAACCGAACTAAACAAACCAAACCGAAAATGTAACGATTTGCGCATCTCTACTGCATCCTAGAGATTTGCGCAAATCTTGTCTCAGCATTGAAACTCTCACTTGTTCCACTAAGTCCCACATTTGAACTCAATAGATACTTCTGTCTAAGCATTATACTATATTTTTATACCCGCACAGGGTGCGGGTGGGTCACCTAGTAAGAATTAAACTAGTTGCGTTTGGAACCTATGGATCAAAAAAAAAAAAAAGTTTGATACATTGCATGTTTATCTAAACAAGTAAACGTTAAGCCCATGGAGTGAAAAGAAAAACACTAAAACACATTTCTTACAACAAGATTTTGAATTCATTGACCAATAACCACATAATTAAATGAAACATTTTTAATCGAGAAACAAAGTCCCATATGTCCACAGTTTCTAAAGGGTTAAGAGTGTCAAAGATCCATACAAACATATGCAAACTTACAGACATGTGTAAATATATGTTTTTGTTTTTATAGTAAAAGAAGAAAGATGCCTTCGGCTTCTTATTTCATTGATGAAAATATGATTTATACAAACAAAACAAAAAGACAAAAGTGTAACGGTGGATCATTCATTAAAGTAAGAGTAAACAAGGCCTCCATTCTTTTGTGTGTGTATTTGTGTGTCTACCTAATTTAAAATCTATAGTATAAGTAGTAAACAGCTGCCAATTCATTGGAGCTGTCTTAGATAGTGTCACATGGAAAAGCATTGTGTTATATTAAGCCCCATTCATTATCTGTTCTTCCCTCCTTTACAGATTATCCTTTGGACCTTTCTGTAACCAAAACATACAATAAACAACATTATCAACGGAAATATTCTCAAATTGGTTATACATCCACTATGTATGACTCACAGACTCCTAAAATGATAGTAACCAAAGCAACTTTAGTATTTAATAATCAAGTCATTAGTATATGCAAGTTGGTGGTCCGTATTATATGGAAACAGTAATGTTTAAAACGAAGAGGTGTGTTTTGTTACCTGAAACTTGTAAGTAGAGACCAAACCCCAGAAGATGTTGCATTTGATACGTATATTTATCTTTACTGTAAATATATATATATATATATGTACAAGTGTTAATAGTCTTCTGATATTAGCTATCTGAGTCTCTCTTGTAGGAGTATCTTCTGGTATCTGGGAAACACATTCTTACAAGCTGAAACCTGCAACAGCAAACCCAAGAATTTAAACCTTAAACTATACTAGTCACAGTTCATTAAGAAATAACCATGAAGTGTATCTTAAATTAGGTGTTAGTGATATTGTCATGGCCTAGTAGATTAGTAAAGCAATCCATCATTATTCACCTAACACGGTTCGCACTCGGAAACATCTTCATTTAGGAAAATGTGATTTATTCTTTTGAGGGCCCTATTAATCCTACTTATTCGTCACTATCTAGTATTTTTATAAAGTAAATTATTTTAAGCATAAAAAGGTGTTACTAAAAAATACAAATTTTTATTTTTTTTTGGTTGGGAGTGGAAAATCAAAGCTTCTGAATTGACTAGTCATTTTCCAAACGTATAAACGACATACGAACTTCAAGAACCCTGTAGTACCCAAAAATGTGTAAACTAATATCTAGTGTTCACAAGCCATTTCTGACCGAGTCTGAATTTTATAAGTGGGTAGAAGAAGAGCAGCTCAGATATTTAAAAAAAAAATATTTAAAACTTAATACTACAACTAATGTTTTTGTAACGGTAAAATTAATTAATTTTAAATTGAATGATAAAGGAATAATCAAACGTTGAGAAACTTACGGATTCGATGTCGATCTTGAAGACTAAGAGTTTTCTCCTCTCTCTACAACTTGTTCTATACGCCACAACGATATGACCGATGGCTAAGACCCACGAACACACAAACAGAGCCACTTCCTCGGTTCTGAACTTTCCTCCGATCACTGGCTCGCCAAACACAACAGCTGCCTTAAAAGATACATAGATCAATGAACATATTGAGCAGATCATTGTTATTGTCAGATATGGTCCCCTTGATAGCTTTGGTCCGTCACAGAGCCCGTAAACGCCTGTCACAAAAAAAACATATAATTATACAAACTTTAAGAACAGAGCTATGGATTTTTTGATAAAGAAGCTTGTGGGGCTACTTACAGAGTATAATGGCAGATCTAATGATGGAGATGAGAGGAATATCGATGAGGGAGTATCTGAAGTCGTAGTTGCTGAGATGAGAAGAAACCGCGGCCGGAGAAAGACGAAGGAGAGAAGAGAAGGAGGAGAGGATGATGGAGGGGAGGACGGCGTCTGCGACGGAGAGGAAGATAGGAGCAGAGAAGAGGATGAAAGAGAGGAACATAGTGAAGAGAACGAAGATCGTCTTCACTCCTCTCCAAAGAGAAGATGTATATCTTCTTGTTTTGCTGATCTCTTCTTTGCCAATCAGACCCATCTTTGTTTCTTAATTTTTTTTTGTTTGAACAACGGATTTGTATTTGATGCAAGTGTGATTTGTTTAGTGAGGTTTTTGCAGAGAGGGTTTTTAAAAGGGTCGAAGAAAATAAAAAAATTGACGATGCTGATGTGTAATTTGTGTATTAAATTAATATTTTTGACCATATAATGACATTTTCTGTTGGATTAAAACATTTGATATGGTAGGATATGAATATTGTTTTGGACGTCTTTTGCAAGGATGTATTATTCTACAAGAGAACTTTGTATATGGTAATATTCGTTCTGCATCATTTATTTTCTGATTAATTTTGTTGGTTTTGGTAAAACATCCCCCTATATATTAAAAGAAAAGTCACTAAAGTGACTTTTTGGCTCGCTCATACATAACTTTTCAGGAAAATTCTTTTCATTTCATTAGTTGAATTTTTTTTTAAATAGCTAAACCTAAAGACGTTTATATTTGGTGCCGTCTCTCTATCATCTCCTTCTCTCTTCGATTCTCTCAGATTTCATGGCTAAGAAAGTTTATCGATCTTCCTTTTACCAAAACAAACGAAAGCATCTTAAGCCGCTTATGTTCGGTACCCTCTCTCTTTCTCTCTCTCTCTCTCTCTCTCTCTCTCTCTCTCTCTCTCTCTCTCTCTCTCTCTCTCTCTCTCTCTCTCTCTCTCTCTCTCTCTCTCTCTCTCTCTCTCTCTCTCTCTCTCTCTCTCTCTCTCACTCCTTCTCTCTTCGATTCTCTGGAGCTCCAAAAAGCCGATTCATGTAATCAATGTCCTGATGTTGCTGATTGTTTTCATTGTTCTCTCGGATTCCATTGTTCTCTCGGATTCCACTGAAGCTCCAAAAAGTCGATACGTGTAATCAATCCGAATCTTCTGTCTCTCAAAAAATCCGATACGTTGTGAGTCTTCTCCGATCCGATCCGATTCTTTGTCGCAGCTCTTAGAATTCTAGGATCCGTTGATTTGATTGGATTTTTCTTTTCCGCAGAATGAAGAAGATATCTGATAGTTTTTCTGTACTTTTGATCTGTTAATTTGATTGGTAGTTCGAAATTGGATTGTTAACGAACTAAGAGTTGGATCGTCTATGTTACAGTTTTAGAGTACTTGAGCCTTGGTACTGAAGTGTACGATGCTGTGGTTGTTCAGACCAATGTGATAGTGTAGTTTTTTACTGTTTTTCTAGAGACTTGAGTACATGATCTTTGATATAATTTAAAGTATGTGGATAATGTTTGGACAAAGGGTCAGTTCATATTTCTGTTGATCCATGATTCTCTATATTTCTGCAGAATCATAAACTGAGAATGGTTTCTGATATTTAATAGTCTATATCTTTCAGAGAACTTTTGTAGTAATGCCTTTATGGTTTTGTCTTTCTTTACAGGCAATAAAAATAGTAAACATAGTAAAGCATAAAGAAGAATTTGATTCTGAAAATTCGTGTCGGAAGCTTGAAACTCAGGTGGACCATCTTACTGCAGAAGTTGAAAGAGAAACCAAACTACAAAAATTTCGGGCAGCACAAGTTGGAGAAAAGATTGAGAGAATGTGAAAACACTTTCGCTGAGCAGAAAAGAACGCGGCAAGGTGCAAGGTATTTCTCTCTTGTAATGATCGGCTACTCTTTCGTTTATATTGAACTATTGTTTAGTTTCTTGATATGATGCCTTTTATACTATTATCTTGTGCTTATATTTTGAGGGGTGGATCTGAATTTCAGTTCCTGGAAAAGGAAAATGCGCACTTGGAGCTCCGTATGAAAGAACTATTGAAGGATTTGGAAATACAGAAAGATCAGTGTGATCTAATGCGTGACAAAGCCACACAATTGGAGATGGACTTGAAAAATACACAGGTACACTTTCGCTCATATGTTCGTACTTCTATCAGTGACTCCTTAGAATATATTGTTAGTTGATTACTTCTCTCTTAGTTTGATCTAAGAGAAGAGTGAAAAAAGAATCTAAGAGAAAGTGAAATTGTTGTTGAGGTGGAGTTAGAATGAGCTTGTTTCACCTTCTTCACATGTATTTGTACTTCATGGTATCTTGCTAAGTTCATTTCTATTTCACAAGACAAGAGTATGAAGAAAGATATTCCAAAAGGACCATCAGAATCTGGAGCTATACAAGGTTCATAGAGATCACAAGGATGAAGATGGATCCTGATGAGCTTTGATACGAGGTATGAAAATATTCTTAGGTGATATGCCTTTTGGATCGTCTCATGATTTTTTGAAACGATTATAATTTAATTTCGGCTTTGATAAAAATAATTATTTTAATTACTTGTGAAAGATTATTACATTGATATCGTATATTAATAACTTTTCTGTGGGGATAATTACCAATTTCAAGATTATTACATTAAGTAATTTAATTTTCGGGTAGTAATAACTTTCCTTATTATTTCCCAAGGAAAACTTATGCATCTTTAAATCGTATTTATTACATTTTTAAATGCAATTTACCTTAGGGATTCTAATTAACTTATTTGTATTTAATAACTTACCTTTCTAATATGAATTATTTGTGCAAGTTAAAATCATATCATATGCAAATCAATTTATGACAATACAAATTTAATATTTTTCTTTATACGGTTTCAGTATTTATTATGAAAATAAATGGGAAACGTCATTATTATAAGAACATATATTTAGGCGACCTCCAAGGTCTTAAAATACAAACAATTTTTCTCTTTTGCGTAATTTTGAAAAATAATGTCATTGGTTCAAGCCTCCAAAAGTGTTGTTTCTTATGTTAGAGAATTAAAACCGCGTAAAGATACGTCACATATTAAAGTTAGGATTATCCGCTTGTGGAGAAACTATAACAAAGAATCAGGAAACACCATTGAAATGGTTTTTGTTGATAAAGAAGTAAGTAAAGATATTACTACATTTTTTGACATTTCAGATTTGTCTTTTATTTTATATTTACTATACAATAAACTCAACTTTTTCTTGGGAAAAACGGTTTCATATCTAATTATTTTGCTTTCACCGAACTTTTATCCTAGGATTTGTCTAACTCATGACAATTATATTCCGCAGGGGACAAGAATTCATGCTTCAATTGGTGAACAGCTGATCAAAAAGTCTGAAGACAAGCTACATGAGGGAGATGCGATTGTCCTCCAGTTGTTCAAAGTGTACGATACTGTTGGTGACTACCGTACAACCACACATCCGTATAATATGTACTTTGGTAAGTAAAAAACGCAAAAGAGTTTTTGATACAATCATAATTGTAAAAGATACAAATGAGACTGAAAAAATTGAAACAGAAATACAAATTTATTCAAGATTCAAGGGGTAGATTTTATAGGTTTTCTTGCAAGATCACTGCTTGTAATCACAACATCTCGTGAAAAAAATCAGAAACTAAGCTAAAACCATAAAAAATGGTTCATAAAACCAAAAGTCACCTCCCTATCTTTGACCATGAAGCCGGTTCCAATCAACAGCAGCCCATGAGACGATACCAACTTTGTTCACAACACTCTAAAAAAAAACTCAGAGCCATACATGTTACCAAAAAACTTAGAAGATCCTATAATACTTGGAGATCAATGAGTTCACTATTGAAGATTCGTTTCATCAAAATCTAACTCAATCAATATCACTGTAATTTTCATGCCCACACAGGGTGCGGGCCAGTCACCTAGGGCTCGATTGGTTCGACATATGATAAAACATTAGCAGTATGCTATAGAAGAAATATGCTGCATAAGCTGTATGATTTCATTAAAATTTAATAAAGTGATTGGCAGAGCAGTAGTAATATACAATTTTAAAATTATCATAATAGTTAGTATAATAAAATATTTATTTTAAAATAGACTTATATATTTATAATATATTAATAATATATTTGTTATTAAAAATAATGATACTTATTCATTATATAACTTATATTATATTTATATGTGAAATATTATTATTTAAAGTTTTAAATTTGTTTTGAAAATATTAAATTATTTTTGGATATAAACATAATTTAATATTATTTAATAAATTAATTAATCAGATTATATATAAATTATTATTATTTACTTATTGGTAGACCAGTAAATGATTCATATATAAAATTATTATAAAAATTAATATTGTTATATAATTTATTTATTAATGTCTAAATAATATATGTTTATATCTATAGTATATAAATATATATTATGTTTTTTTCTATTAAAAATAATGAATGATATGTGTAATTATATAAATTATATTATATTTTAAATGTGAAATATTGTTCTTTTAAATAATTTTTAAAATATTTAATTTTTAATTTTTAAATAATTACATTTATTTTTTGATTATAAAAATATTTTTTCTATTACTAAACTAAAATATATTAATTATATATAATTATTTTTTAATTTTTATATATTCTAACTGCAAATGCTCTCACAAAAGCTCTCTCTGAAAGCTTTGAGCAAAAATTATTTGGAGAGCAATAGCATTTGGTAAATAATTTTCTAAATGTTTTTTTGGCAAATGTTGATTGGATAATATAGAGTATAATGCTTATGATAATGCTCTACCAATCAAGTCCTAGTAGATGTAGTAAACTTAAGCCCCTTTATAAGCTTTAATGCTTTTCTACCATCCTCGCATAATTTTAAAATGTGTATATTTACATATTAATTCAATTAGCTAGTGTGAGTGATTATGGTCATATATAGTTTAGTAGTATATGCTATAATCGTTGTTGTGTCAGTGTCATTACCCTATTCAAAATTTCATATTGTATCTTGACTAAACAAAATATATAAACTAGCTAGTGTGCGTGTTTCCCAATAAAAAAACGATCTTAGAGTAGACTATTAACTTAAAAACCTGTTTTAATGTTCATTGTCTTTTACAAAAATTAGTTCCATGCTTGTGTTCATGGTGTTGTGATTGTGTTCTATCTCCTTGCATTGTTTTCATTATTGTATATTGATATCCTCGACTCATGCACTTCAAGTAAGTATGTGCTAATAGCTTTTGTGTTAACGTTTTTTTTATAGTTTTCCTTAATGAAAATTGTTAAAATATAACAGCCCATTAGAATTCGTTTTTGTATATGCTAGCTTAACGACTCAGATGTTCCAGGTTGGCTTTAGTCTCTCTGGAATAACGGTCTTCCCTAGGACGAGTGGAGCACAACACTCTAAAATTCAATTGATTCTTTTCTGCATATATATATATATATATATATATATATGGGAAAATTGTCCTTTAAAACACTAACTTTCAAATTTGATTGAAATAAAGCACCAACTTTTTCATAAGCAAAAAAAACACTCAACTTTTGTTGACAAGCCATTTTAGTCACAAACTTTCATCGACCATACCAATTTAGTCATATCGTCAGTCAACAGTTATAGTTGACTAACGGTATGCCTAAAATGGCTTTTAAAGTTGGTGTTTTTTCTGGCACAAATATAAATCAACAATTTTTTCAAAATATTGGCTTTTAAGTATTGAAAATTTTAATAATTATAACACTAATAAATAAAATTTTAAATAAAAAATAAATTCCACTCAAAAAATTAAACATATCTCAATGTAAAATTATTAATTAACATATCCTTAATTGAGTATTTTAGTTAAAAAAATAATTGTGATTTTTTTTTTTTAATTATTTACGATTAATTTTTAAAAACTATTTGTATAATCCTATACGTATTATGTTTTATAATTTTACTGTCAAAATTCGTTGGTAAAATATTACTTCAATTCTTGGTTGTTTAAACAAAATGAGTTATCGGATAACAAAAAGAGTTATCTATTTTGGCGAAACTTATTTTTTTTTTTAAAATGCACAAAACCTCTTGTAAAACTTTTATAGTAAATATATAGATTTGTTTGAAGATCTTTATTATAAACTTAAAGAATCATGAATAATTCGTTAATCGATAACTTTTTTCATTTAAGAAACAAGAGTTAAATTAATATTTCATCAACAAACTTTTGAAAATAAAATTATAAAACATAATTCAAATAGGATTATATAAATATTTACAAAAATTAATAGTAAATAATTAAAATATTCTTATCATTTTATAACCAAGATACTCAATTAATATATGTTAACTAATTATTTTACATTGAGTTTCATTTATACTTTTTTGGATTTTTTATTTATTAGTGCTTCATTTATAAAAATATTTTCAATATTTATAATATATCCAATATTGTAAAAAAATTATGATTTATATTTGTGCCAAAAAAAACATCAACTTTGAAAGCCATTTTAGGCCTACCGTTAGTCAACTATAACTGTTGACTAACGATATGCCTAAATTGGTATGGTCGACGAAAGATTGTGATTAAAATGGTTTGTCAACAAAATTTGATTGTTTTTTTGGCTTATGAAAAAGTTGGTGCTTTATTTCAACCAAATTTAAAAGTTGGTGATTTAAATGACAATTTTCCCATATATATATATATATATATATATATATATATATATATATTAATCAAACTGGCAACTATGTATAAAGAACAGGTATATTTTCTTTTATAAGAACAATGGTATATATAGCATTGATTGGAAACACATACTGTAATTTTTAGACATTTTCTTATGAAAATGAAAGAGGCTCGTTAGCAGAAGATTAAAGACCAAACAGATTTGAGAATTTAGTAGAACTCTAGGGCTGCCGGAGTTGACTGGCGACTACTAAATCGAGAGTAGCGCCTTATTAATGAACTAAGGTTCTGAATGGTAACGTGCAGGATAACTATGAGATAGGTGTTGTACGGTTCAAATATTAACAAAAATATATAGATATATAGGTATATATAATGATTTTTGTTACTATTTACAGTGACACGGTTCGAAACGGTTGGTTACCATTCGAAGCCATATAAGTTAGTTATAGTTTTATTGATAAAAAAATATAATTTACCAGTCACTTTACTGACATATACTAAAATAAATATTTTTTTTTGATATTTCTGAATAAAACATTTGCATATTTTTGGTTGTCTATTTTGATGTTTTGCTATATGATACTTCTTATATATTACAAAATATATGTATTTGCGATGTTAATTCAAATAATTATTTTATAGAAACTATTTTTTAGTGTGTAAACCCCACTGAAAAGAACTACAGTGAAACTTTTATAAATTAATAATATTGAGATTTTAAAATTTTATTAATTGATAGAGATATTAATTTATAAAAATTTCCTTATTTAGATTTCTTATTTTAAGATATATTTATTCTAAGATAAGAAAAATATTTGATTTTACTGTATAAATATTAGTTATTATTTTTTGAACTTTGACATTTATATTAATTTTCTTATATTAATTGGTGTATATAATTATATATTATATATAATTTATATGATTTTAGATATAAAATTACTAAATCTCACCAAAAATATATTAAGTGTTACAAAAATATTAAGATAATTTCATTATGTTATAAAGAAACAATATAATAATTACTTTTAAAAAATGTAAAATTGATAATTTTAATGGGACCATATATTTACAAAGATTTTTTAAAAATATTATTATTTATTATTTATCGATTTGAATCAAATTTTGAACCGGTTCAAATAAGGACCAATGAAATTTATTAGTTTATAGAAATTATTAATTTATCGTGTATTAATTTATAGAGATTTTACTGTACATATGTTGACAAAACCCAGTTGGTTACTTACACCAAATTCATAAGTAAATTTTCTTTTTCAAAATCAGATTCATGTTTGATAAGAAAAACAAAATGCCTAAAGAAAATAACTGAAAAAACTGTAATCACAAGGTAAAAGAAAAGTTGGAGAGAAACGAGAAGGTAGAGAGCCATGTGTAAGCAGGCAGGGGCAAGGGCGGCTTAATGATCCATCACATCAGCTTCGTGTCTTCTTAAGCTTCGTTTACGTTGTAGGAAATAACCTTAGTCCATTCCGAACTCACCAACTCTTCTTTCTTTTTTCTTGGATAATTCATTTTTTGTATAAAATTATAACGCGATATATTTTGTTCGTATGTCATTCGTCCACTTGGACGGGTATTTGGAAAAATCATCAATTTGCGTTTATATCTGGCCATATGGCGAAATATTAGGACAACTTCTATGGTGATTAACAAACAACTATAAAACTACAAAGATTTAAATATTTGAAAACATTTAGGAGTTCCTTATGGCCTACCACGTATTTCATTTCGTTATGTGTTAGTTTATTTTTTATTAATGACTTACAATTGAAAGCAGAAGGAAAAAAGTTTTATAGAAGCTTAGCATAGCCTGATCAGTTAAAATATTATAAAAGAGAATCCGATCGAACCAGTATGATTTGGTTAGGATTTTCTTAATCAAAACGAACTAAACGATACCGTGATTACTGGAACTTTTTTAAAGTAGCAAACTGAACCAAACTTATAACCGAACATAAACCAAAAAAATAAAAAATTCGGTTCATGTCAAAATCCTAGGCCTACCATAGCTTGTGAGAGAAGTAGAGTTTGATACTAGTTTCGTTGCATCTCCTATAACTCAATAGAAGAAAAAGAGAGTAGATTATCCGGTTTATGGTCCCAAAAACATGCTTTTGAGTACATTCTTGAGTCTTGATAATCCGTAAAGGGTTTCTTCAAAGCGGATGATCTCGTTCTTTGAGCCATAAAGCAACTTAAGTTCTCAATGAGCAGGCTAAGAGGAGCCACTTCGAACAACAGCCTCAACTTTGCCTTAGCCGTAGGAGAAGTCACGTTCGTGAAGATTCCTTTCTCCTTTACAATAATCTGCATGCCAACAAAAGTGTTTAACTCGAGTTTCATTCAACATTAGGGATCCGGTTTAGGAAACCTGGTTAACGTCAAGAACCATTCCTCCTGTGTAGTGTGTACTTCTCTTTCACGTAGTAATCAATTAGCTGATCTCACAGACTCACAGTAAAGCATTCAGCGATTTATAGATTCAAGAAAAGTTAAAAGTCAGATTGATCAAGAAGCACGAACCTTGGTGTATTCAGAATTGTCAAACGTGGCTCTCAAGTTTCCTGGTGAGAACATTTTCCCTTCATTGATCTCTGTTGTCTCCTTAACATGCTGCCATTTCCATGTGAATACATTTAGAGCTTATTCTAAAGCTACCAAAGAGAGAAGAAGCTTTTTATACCTATATATATTGGACTAAAAGCAGAGACATACCTTCATCAAGAAGCAAGAACTCATGAGTTCCTAGAAATCTTTTAACAGCCAAACCATAAGTGGTTCTTGGACCATAGATTACCATGGCTGCAGCCACTTGATCTGCTCTCGTGACCCCGGTTAACTTGTCTACAGGCCAAACCCCAAATATGGTTCCCACTGTGAAGTTTGTATCCACAATGCTGGATCCATCCAATGGGTCAAATGCCACACTAAACCCACCTTCCACTGGACCTCCCATGTCCTGAAGCTCAGGTACTTCTTCAGAACAAGCGTACTTACACACATGAGAGTATTGCAAAGCCTATAAAACCAATACACAGATCAAAGCATAATGAGCCGGTCATGAACATAGTAAAGTGAAACATTGATCTTTAGACCCAAATTTTTTAGAGTAAATATATGAACATAATCTCCAAATTATTTAATTATATTTTTAACTTAAGTTCTTACTAAATTGCTTAAGGTTCTCAAAATCTCGGCCGGCTTAATGATCATCAAAATCAAACTTGGGAAACAAGTTATTCAAAAAATGTAATGAAACAAACCTCAAAGAGAAGCTTGTCGGCGAGCATATCGACAGCGAGTTGTTCATCACCAAAAGGAATTAACACAAGCTGTTCGACCACAAGAAGCTGTTCTAACTTTGAAAGCTATTGTCCTCAATGCTTCTACCATACACATCAACAAAGTTCTTAATCCCTTGTCAGGTGTTGATTGTGTCAAATACTCTTCCTATATACACTCAAGAAGTAAAAAAGAAACTTTCACTCAAAGATAAAATCTTGACCATATGATTTGAATTTAAAGATTTGATTTTTTTTGTTACCAAGCTTTGACCAATTTCACATTTAGTCATGGCTGACGCACCATTGTTCTTAGCCTTGGTTGCTTTCATTTGTGTTCTTGGTGTTAGTCGTAGTGAATCTCCGAACATGGAGCTTGACTTCAGACGCTGCTGAATACATTGGTTATAAGGAATTATATAAAATAAGTTTACACACTCACTAGACTAGTATCAGTAAATAAAGTATCCTTTGTACGCACACATGTGCATTTGTATGTAACTCAAGTAATATGTTGTAGAGGATACTAACCTTGAAGCAGAAAGAAGAAGAGGAGGAAGAAGGATGAGAAACCAGTGCAGAGGATTTTTGAGAAAGAGGCGTTTGGGAGGACGATCCCACGTGAGTAGCACGTGACGCTGGTCTCCATTGCTAATATTTCTGAAGTTGGAGGGTTGATCAAAGAAGATGGAGACGAAGCAACTCTCTACGTGTTTTTGAGAAGATAAAGGGTGTTTAACGTTGGGACTTGGGAGTGGCACGTGGCAGTCTGAGAAGATATGCTTACGGCTCTGGTGATGGGCCATTGGGCAAGAGGGAGTGAGGCAAAAAGATGTGTTGAGGCTTTGATTTGTCATCGTACATCTGTATACAGGATAATAGGAGAAGAAAAAAATAGACACGTGGAGGTATTAGAGTGGATGGGGTGGTTGTTAGGAGTTAGTGTCAACGGAGTTAAAGGTGACATGTGTCAAGGAATTATTGGCCGTGTTCATCTATACGGCTTTAGCTCATTTGTAGAATTCATTCAGAAAAGTTGTATCGTATTTTCCTCTCCGTAATTCTGGGATTCTTGTAACAATTTGGAGAGCTTATAATTGGAAAATGTAGTTCTTATTTGTGATCTTTTGCAACTAAGCTACGATATGGTGTTTGATCAGAATCGTTCCCACCATTGATTCTGATCAAGATCCCGATTCAAATCACCACCGATTCCGAGGACGATTAGCTCTGATACCACTGGTAACGATAAACGTATTCACTGTTAAACGCATAGGCTTAAACGTGCCAGGAAGCTCGCTTGGCTTGCGTCACACCCGAGGGAGGAGAAAAGCTACGTACAACTTACAACCGTCTAAAGATCTTAACATATGTACATTTGCTTATGCGAAAACACAATGGAACTAATACCAATAGCTCTTAGACAATTATAATGTTTAGAAACTATTAGTAAACTAAACAATAATATACATTAATACTAAATGTCACTACACAATTCGATTGATTCGAAATTGTATTCAAAGTAATTTATAATAAGGTACTAATTTCCTAACAACTAATTTGTTACACTCACTAATAAATGTAATTACGGCAAATTAAATTTTAATTGTATCGTAATAAATATATTATATGGCGTCATATTCAAATAATTTTTAAGACCAAAATTTTAATAAATTATAAACTAAAAAAAAGTTTTTAACTTAATTACTCTTACAACAATTATTATCCAAAATTATTTACTTATTAATTAGTATAGTAAATAATTTAAGACCCAGTACTCTATTAAGACCCAAATATATAAAGTACATTGGGTCTTATCAATTATAAACATATGTTTTCCAGATAAAGGGTCCACATCTACAATTGAAGACAATCCTATCGTAGCATGCTCAAAATGTGACGCATTAATGTGGATTTCAGAGAGCACTGGTAAAGACGCTAAAACAGGCAAACCAACATTCACACTCTGCTGTAACCATGGCCAAATAAAGATTCCACCAATCAGGCAACCCCCAGCGCTGTTAAAAGAACTGCTTCAGCTAAGGTGGTTCCGAGATACCATCTGAGTCTATAATTCCATACTAGCTTTCACATCCATTGGAATGAAAATGGATTATAGTGTGATGCATGCGCCGAGTCCTTAAACTATATGAATCCAAGGTCAGACCCACCATAGAATCAGATCACTTATACCACAACGGGGAAAAATGCCCGAATACCTCCAGCTTTACATATTTGATACAGACAACGAAGTAAGGAACCAATTACACGCGATGGGGCAAACATCAAATGAAGGCAATCTCGATGCGGCAACCTTAGATTGCCTCATCAAGATGATTGACACGATTAATTGTTTGGCGAAAGTTTTCCGTCGAGCACGTGACCACTACGAAAGCGTTGGGAAAAATTTTCATATTAGGTTACTCCCAGATAAAGGGAAACGGAAAGAATACGATTTTCCGAGTACAAGAGAAGTCGCCGGCCTTATCGTAGGAGATATGTCAGAAACAATTGGAGAATGAGATATAGTGGTCCAATTCCAATCTGACACTTTATAGCAGATATGTGATGACCACCCCCTATACATGAGCCTCCAATACCCTCTTCTGTTTCCATTTGGGGATTATGGTTTCCAACCCGAGATCCCACTACATCTTGAGACAGGGACTTCAAGGACAAGGCAATTCCTAACGATACATCAGTTCTACGCTGCTCAAATACAGACGCGTCTTAATCATGGGCTGACATTGATTAAAGGCGGTCGTCTCCTCCATCAATATGTTATCAGCGTTTTCACGGCAACTGAGGAAGACCGGTTACGATGGGCGAGGAATAATCAAGATGTCCTACGAGCAGAGCTCTACAGTAATGTCCTTGATGTTGTCTGTAGGGGGCACAACGATGCTATTGGTCAGAAGTACATATTGCCACCAAGTTTCACCGGTGGGCCTCGCTACTTAGTTGAGAAACACCATGACGCAATGGCTATCTGTAGAGAATATGGGAATCCAGATTTGTTTATCACACTAACGGCTAATCCGAACTGGAGAGAGATTAAGGAGCATCTTTTGAAAAATCTACCTAATACGGTCTTCGCCCATGGTCAACTATATGTGGCTCTTCTCTCAGGCGTGACAAGCAAAGCAGGAGTAAAAATCATTAAGGGCCAAGATTCACACCCTCAGAAAGTGAAAACATAGTCTACAAAGAGATCTTCAACCGGCTTCCTTCCGATGAAAGTAAGTAAAAATTTATACTTAGACGCAAAATTAAAAGAAAATTAAAGGGTTATTTAGCTGAAAAATCACAATTGTCTCTACAGTGCTCTAGCTGATAACACAAAAAATTGGAAGCAAAAATGCTACAATGATGATGGATATCTTCTCACCTCTAGGTACCTATACATATATTATGAAATAAATAAACATATTTTTACTAATAATAACTACTCACTAACTTATTTTAATTAATTTTCAGGCCCCAGTTCAAAAAACTCCCACCCCATCTACATCCTATACCTTGAGAGTACCTCCTGTTTCTCCATCATTAATATTTCCCGTTGTTTAAGACTTTATAAATTTGTTCTTCAAGATTATGAAAACTATCATCTACTTCTAAACATTATTTCACAAACGTTTCTATTTCATTATGCATCAAACATTACTTACTACCTGCTTTATTCAATACGAGTTCTTTGACTGAACATTTTTCGAAGTTATTAAAAAATATTATGTATAAAGCACCTGCTAATATATATTAGCATCTCGGGTTTCCAACATTTTTAATCAACACTTTTTCTAAAAAATACATAATGACACAACGAATGTTTTTTCTCCTAAAGAATAACCCGGGCGTAGCCCGGGAAAAAGATCTAGTTACTGTAAAAACACAGTTGAAATATTTGACATTTATTTTCTGTATTTGTTAGAAAAAAATAGCAACGAAATTTTGGGAAAATGAGCATATTAATCCTCAACCATTTATAATCAGCAAGTTTAACATTGAAGTATTGCTTGCGCGATTTTAATCCCAAATTAAGGATTGACTTGGAAAATTAAGGACTAAAATAGTCAAACGTTATATTACAAACGGTTTCCGTTAGTTTATACTCGTGTGCTTCTAAAACTTAAAATCCCTAAACATACAATTAAGAGCACCTCCAACGGGGTCTTTAGGGGAGAGTCCTTAGAGAAAAAATAATTAAATAATCAGTAGACCCTACAAAAAGTTAAGGATTTGATCCTTAAAATCCCTAAGTAAGGACTGTTTCTTAGCGAATCCTTATACTATTTGCGGGTCCCCAAGACACGTGGCAGCCCGTGAATGATCATCTTCTTTTTTTTTTTCTTTAAAAAAAATAATTTGAAATACCCTTACCAAATTCGAAATACCCTTTTTCTTAAGGACTCCTATGAGTCTCACGGTTGCGGATGCTCTAAGGAGATTCCAGATAAGCAAAAGAGGTTTCCGGTGAGAAAGACAAAATCCGGAGGAGATGCCTCGGTGGCTGAGCGTTTGGGATTGTGAAATACAGACACACACACTTGCCGAAGAAAATCTGATAGTGCTCCAGAAACATTTATCACATAATCCCTGCACAAGAGAAGAAATTTTAGGGGTGGGCGTTTGGGTACCCGTTCGGGTTCGGATCAGATATATCAAATTTTTGGATATTTCAGTATTTTTATATATCGGTTTGGGTTCAGATATTTTAAGTTCAGGTTCAGTTATTTTGGATCGGGTTTCGGATATTTAGATCTTGAAAGAAAAAAATTCAATTTCTTCATATCTTACGTTTTGTATACTTAAAATTTATTATTAACTTAACTGTTTTAATAAGTTTCAAAATAAATTATTAAAAATAGAAATCATTAATCTAGTTGTTATTTTCAAACTTTGGATGTAATTTTTATGAAAGCATGAAATAAGAAGCTTAACGTGCATTTTAAATAAATAGCAAATCATTTTTTAAAAATTATATGTATATTATCTGATCTTAAACTATATACAACACTAATATAAATATTTTGAATAAAATGAGATAAATAAACCAAGAATAATATATGTATATATACATATGCTCGGTTATCTTCGGATATCCGTTCGGGTTCTGATATCCAAATTCTCCTAACTCAATATCCGTTCGGGTATTTTGTTATTTCGTTTCGGATTTCGGTTTGGATATTTTGGGTCGGGTTCGGATACGAGTTCGAGTATCGGGTAAAATGCCCACCCCTAAGAAGGATCATCAAAGAAGTGGAATGAGTTTACTTTTTCTCGGCTTGTTCCTATTTCCTTCATCAATGGGATACGCATGTTCAAACATGAGAGATTGTGTTGGTATAATGAGGAATAGTAGTAACACGAACAGGTTTATGTGTTGTAAGTCTCTCTCTACTTTATAAGATAGCCAATTTTGGGTTATTTACTTCACTAAGATGGTGAAAAGCTTATTCAAAAAAAAAAATCGTGAAAAGCTAACAAATACATCAACACAAATTCAAAGAACAATCGCTTTACCGTAAACTCAATAGTTTTCCAGAGGGAGATCTTGATTTGAAGTTTTGGCTTGAAAAGAAAGCATTCCTACTAGCAAGCATCTCAGGACCAGTAATACAAACCTTACTAAATCAAAGACCTTCACGGTAGAAGAAGATTAGAACCAAACACTCTTAACTTTTCAAAAAGGTTCTAGAAAAGATCTTTGATATTTAATGTTAATCATATTCATCAAGAGACGAAATGTTTCCACTTTGATAGTGAAAGATGAAGGTTCAGTTGTTCGACGCATCCCCATTTATTAATTTTTAGCCTCATTGTACTCTTGAACATGTTTATCTTGAGTTGTGTAATCTAATAGTTCTCCCAGTTTCAGAAGATCAACTATACAACAACAAAAAATGAATCAATTCAATTAGCAGGCCATAGGGAGTTCCACTAGAACTGGAACAATAATAACTTGTTTACAAAAAAAACTATGAACATTCTGAATCATGTAACGCCCAATATTGAAAAAGCAAATTTCACCATTACGAATGGCAAAATGAAGTACATTTTTCAACTCCCGTCAGATTTTCGGTAGGATATTTCACAAACATCAAAGACATCACTATGATGAAGACAAAACACTAGTCTTGAGTATATTTCCACAGTAAATGTGTATCCATTTAAAGACAAAATAACAACTTTTTGTAATAATTTTACCTCATAAGGCTAGATACATCATCCAAAACCAGTAGAAAAATATGAGTAATTTTGATCGTTATGACCAGTGAAGAGAATACACCCGTTTTCATCTCTGATCGGTGAGAAGCTCAGCTTTGAGTAGGCCGAGACAAACGACTCGTAGAACATAACTTAAGTCTTGCCAGATTTTTTCTTCGCCTTTGCTTGTCAAGGATAGCCGTTGTGTGCTTAAGGATTTCAAATTTCAGAAGAACAAAGGCATATAATACTAACGGAAACCGTTTAAAACTTAAAGTCTGACTATTTTATCATTAATTTGCCAAGTCAACTTTTCATTGGGGATTAAAACCATGCAAACAATACTTCAATATTAAACTTGCCTATTTCAGATAGTTGAGGATTAAAAAACCCATTTTCCCACGGAATTTCAGCTGGAATTGTCGCGGCGATTACCGTTCCGATTATTGTGACCATCTTAATAGTGCTTGTTCTAGGTTCCGTTCTATCCCGGAGGAGAAAAGCATACCAAAGAACTGAGATTGAATGTTAGTTACTCGTTACATTTTTATAGTTTTCTCTAGCAGAAGAGTATAAAATGCATAACTAGTAAACCCATGACTTGCAGCTGATAGTGGTATTTCAACTGAGAATTCATCACAATACGATTTTAAAACAATTGAAGCTGCAACAAATAAGTTTTCAAGCACTAATAAGCTCGGGGAAGGTGGATTCGGTGAGGTTTACAAGGTAAGGAGGTCTCTGTTTTCTAAGTTAATATGGCCATGAAAATCACCAACGATATTTTGTTTTATTCGATGTTATATAGGGTAAGTTACCTAATGGAACTGAAGTAGCTGTGAAGCGGCTGTCGAAAAATTCAGGACAGGGCACAAGAGAGTTCAGGAACGAGGCTGTTCTTGTGTCAAACTTCAACATAGGAACCTGGTTAGGCTTCTTGGATTCTGTATGGACGGAGAAGAAAAGATTCTCATATATGAGTTTGTTCCCAACAAAAGCCTTGACTATTTATTATTTGGTATGGCTCTCTCTTTCAACAGTTTTCCTACTCTAAGGATTCCTCTTCAGCTTTGTAAACTGATTGATCATACATGGAGTTTTGTAGACCTTGAAAAGCAAAGTCAGCTAGAGTGGACCCGGCGTTACAAGATCATTGGAGGGATTGCTAGAGGGATTTTATATCTTCATCAAGATTCACAGCTAACAATCATTCATCGTGACCTCAAAGCCAGCAATATTCTCTTAGATGTCAACATGAACCCAAAAATTCCAGATTTTGGATTGTCGACCATCTTTGGAATGGAGCAAACTCAAGGCAATACCCACAGAGTAGCTGGAACCTAGTAAACCTCAAACAAAAAAATTGTTACACCTTTTTTTTATGACATAATAATATTAACCATAATTTTATGTTTTCAGTGCTTACATGTCTCCTGAGTATGCAATGCATGGTCAATACTCTATGAAATCTGACATTTACAGCTTTGGAGTATTAGTTCTGGAGATTATAAGCGGCAAGAAAAATAGTGGCGTATACAAGATGGATGAAACCAGTACTTGTGGAAACTTGGTCACTTACGTGAGCATAAAGTCCTCAACTTCCATCAATCTAACATCTTTAAACACATGACCAAGGTTCTTGATTGTTTATTTTGTTAGGCTTGGAGGCTTTGGAGGAAAGGGTCACCACTAGAGCTGGTGAGTCCTGCAACTGGAAGCAACTATCAGAGTAATGAAGTCACTAGATGCATCCATATTGCACTCTTGTGTGTTCAAGATAATCCAGAAGACCGTCCAATGTTATCAACTATCATCTTAATGCTCACTAGCAACACAATTACTTTACCAGTGCCTCAATTACCGGTTTTTTTTATCAAGAAGCATGCATAGGCTAGACCCTCTATCTGAGGAATTAGTTGTGTCGAGTGAGTCAGCTAGCAAAAGTTTTCCTCATTTAGTTCGTTAAAGATAATATATCTACTCGATCGTATCTGTAAGAGTTGAACACAAAAAGGCCATAATTGATTTAATCTCTCCACGCACATAAGAAAGAGATAAGTTTTTTTTAATTGTGTCGTAAGTTGTAATCTGCATCATGCTATGGTAAGTTCTATATTAATGGAGATCTACAATGTTGTTCGCTCTCCAAACTCTCTTCAAACTGATTAATGTAGAGTTTTGACCTTGGATTACTTAAAATTCAAGCTATCTTTAATCTAGTAGTAAGTTAAAAATAAAAACACAATCAAATTAACGAGTCTTACATATATGCATCGATCGCTTTCTCCTGGTCCAGCCCAGACGAGCAGTGTCCTTACCTCGGCTCATATTGGTTTGAGTTGATTGTAATGCTTTTACAAAATTCAATAATGAACTTGATTTCGTCGTTATAAATCAATCGAAGGAATAATTTGCACGTGCGACAAATATAGTACAGCAAAACCAGGTGCTCATAGGCACACTTGCGGATAATCCAGGGTATCTTAGAAGACAATATTAACCCTTCTCCAATTTGTTGTCATGTGGCACATTGGTAATTACAAATAAATTCACCAAACTTAGACGCTAAAACTTGGGAAAACCAGGGGAAAGAGCGTTTGGTTTCTGGGTGTTCAAAAAAATATAAAAAAATGAGCACCTGGTTTTGCACTAACAAGCGGCAAAATCTAATCCTCTTTTTTATTATATAAACGGACGCATGGAAATCTCATCTTCATCAACAAGAAATTCGGCTTTAACAAACAAGAAAACAAAGGAAGCGATTCTCTGATTTTTCCAGTTAAATAAAAAAAGTGAGAAAAGATGAGTTCAAGGAGCAAAGCATGGTTAGTGGCAGCAACCATCGGAGCCGTGGAGGCCTCGAAAGACCAGTTAGGACTATGCCGGTGGAATTATCTGATCCGATCTGTGAATCAACGTATTCAAAACAATGTGAGATCCGCTGTTCAGGCGAATAGATTCTGTTCGTTGTCCACAGCGGTCGTTGCATCTGGTAAGGATAGTGACAAGGCGAAGCAAGCTGAGGAGTCTCTCAGGACGGTCATGTATTTGAGTTGTTGGGGTCCTAATTGATTAAGACAAATCCAGATTTGTTTTTTTTAATCTTTTGATGTCGATTGGTTCCAACAGATTGTATCACACAAGTTAAAGATATTTGTACAGAATGTAGAGATAAATATAAATTTGGTGATCATGTTACTGGAAAATATATACATCACAAGATAGAAACTTGCATGATCCATTCGTTTGACACATCAAGCTTGTCCATTGTTTTTGCTATCGAACTTGACTACATGCCCTTCTAGGAATTGGATTTCTAAATGGTTTCGCATCAAGCCACTCTTTAAATTCGGTAATAACAAGATCAATTAATGTTTGGGAAGTTAAAGGACATTAGTCACACACGAAGATAAATTGCAGTATCATCAAAACACATTAGCAATGGGAAATATACTAGTTCTACCTTATAGCTCTGAAAACATCTCTTATATATTACTCATGGACATCACAATAGTTTTTATATCAAAGTGTCATCACTGCGTTAATTCTTACAATTTTCAGAAAACATACATAAATTATAATTTTTATTAAATTAACTATCAAATTAATTAATAGCATAAAAATAATATATTCTATCTTCTTTCTTTAACTAAAAACTACGAAATTATTTATTATAGTTAACAAATATATGAAAATTAATTATTTTAAATAATAAAGATTTGATAAAAGTTTTCCTATCCTCTATCATTTTTTTAATTTTATATTCTTAAAATAAATTAAAGAATCACATTAATCATATATTAAAAAATTTAAAATTTTCTTATATGCTATATTTTGAATTTTCTTAAATGATTATAAATTATTAAGAGTGTTAAATGATTTAACTTTTTTCGTTAAGACCCATAGAAAATGAGAATAATGATAAAGAAAGATAAGATAATATTTCATCCCACTAACATTTGTGGTGTTGTGGTGTTGGTTCGTTGCTGTGTCGCTGCGGTGTGGTTTTCGTCTATGGCTTCTTCGAGGCGGCATAGTCTCTCCCTCTCAATTTGCTTCCTCTTCTCAGCTACTCGTCACGATCTTTTGTGGAGGTAAGTCGACTTAAGCTCTCAATTGTGTGTGCTCTGGGTGTTCGTGAGGTTGTACTATGACGCTAGTGCATCTCTTGTCAGATAAAACTTACCTCCCTTCGGTTTTCGGAGATAGGGATTGGCGTTTTGAGTGGAGACTTCTTGTGGTCTGACAAGTTCTTTACTCATCGGTGGCACAATCGGCGTGTAGCATATCCCAGTGCTGTGAGCGGACCTCTCATAAAAATTCTACACGATAAAGCTTTTGCAGGTCATTGAGTGTTGTTCAGTTTCGTTGCAACGGCAGTTGGCCTATATCCGCCTTCTTGTTACCAGTGGTATCAGAGCTAATCGTCCTCGGAATCGGTGGTGATTTGGATCAGGATCTTGATCAGAATCAATGGTGGGAACGAGATCTCATACGACATCGGAGAATGTGGAAAAAGACGTCGACGGAGCTTAGGCGAATCGTTTCAAAGCTTTGGAGAAGGCGATTGCTTCACAAATTGAACAAAACGAGAGGAGAGATGTGGAAGTAAGGGAGATGATCGAAGCTTTCAAGGTTATGTCTAGCCAAAATCCGTTGAATGCGTCGACGAGTGGTGGTGAAGTTCAAGGAATCCGTGCGATGAGAACCGATCGTGTACGCCACAACCGTTAGGATCAGGTAAAAAATCACAATGGCATGACGAGACTAACGATGATTGATTTTCCTCGTTTTGACCGTAGTAAGATCAAAGAATGGTTTAGTAAAGCTTAAGAATTCTTTGCACTTGATAATACTCCTGAAGAATCGAGAGTTGGAATAGCTTCTATGCACTTTGATGGTGAGGCATCTACTTGGCATCAAGCTCTGAGACAGGAGGATGAAGAAGCAGTAGTATTACGAAATTGGCGTGTTTATAAGAACATACTCAAAGAAAGATTTGAGGAAATTCTTGATGATCCAATGGTAGAGTTGAAAGAGTTGAAAGAGACTGATGGAATTTCTGCGTATCATGCGAAGTTTGAATTAATCAGATCAAGATTGAGAATACCTGAGGAGTGTCTGTTGAGTGCGTATCTTGCAGGCCTGAGACTGGATACACAAATGCATATACGTATGTTTAATCCACAATCAACTCGTCAATGTTTGGTACTTGGTCGATTATATGAAAAAGCACATCCTAAGAAAGAAGTGAAGAGTGGTTGGATTCCAGCAAAATCTCAGAGAAATTACAACCAACAAAAAAGGACTTCTTCATTATAAAAAAGATGACGAGTCAAAGAAGAAGGAAGGAGGTGGGAAGTTGAAACTTTTTTTGTCACAGGCAGAAATGAGTGAGAGAAGAGCTAAGGGCTTATGCTATTATTGTGATGAGAAATTCACACCAGATCATTACTTAAAGCATAAGAAAACACAGTTATTTTCTATGGATTGTGAAGATGAAGAGGTGTTTCATGAGGCGTTGGAGTATGAGGAGAGTGAGTGTGAGTATCAAGATATCGATCAAGCTCGGATTTCTATTAACGCCATCTCTGGTATTACGGATTATACCACTATGAAGGTTCGTGGATTCCATAAGAAGAAGACATTATATGTGTTGACTGACTCGGGTTCAACACATAACTTCATAGACAAGAATGTGGCCGAAACACTTGGTTTTGTGATTAAAGAAGCATGAAGAACTAAAGTTTCAGTAGCAGGAGGGAGTAGTATATCGGTGTGTGGGAAAATTGAAAACTTTCAATGGAAATTTCAGGGCCATCAATTTACTTGTGATTTTATGGTAATTCCATTGGGTGGTCATGACGTGGTACTGGGAGTGCAGTGGCTTGCACGTTTAGGTCCAATAACTAGGGATTTTGAGAAGTTGGAAATGAGGTTTAAGTGGGGTCAACGAAGGTTTTATTGAATGGAATTCAACTTGGATCAGTGAAAGAAGTGAAGTTTGTCATGTCTCTGATCCTGGCTAGGATCGTCTGGATAGACCATGGTGCGAGGGGATGCACCAGTAAGGTCATATGACCTAAATACAAGCATATCATGGTCCAGAAACGTGGTTAAGTACATCAGGGAGCTGATACTTAGCCAAATAAGGAAGGCAAAAGAGTAAAAGGAGCTACACGAGTAAAGGGGTAGCTAGACGAGGTGTAGAGACAGCTCGACCTAGCTCAAGGGAGCTCGGGGAAGATCAGCCCAGCTCGATCTAGCTACACAGTCATTGGTCAGCTCACACCAGCTGAACTGTCATGTTTCCGTTCCTGAAACTTGACATAAGGCCAAGACATTCAATAGAAACGAGACTGCTTTGGTCATATCATGAGAATTGCTCATTAAGAAGCTGTGATGAAGTGAATGATCAGAATAGATCATGGTAAAGCTTAACCTTGGTCAAGGAATGGACCAAAGGACTTAGACAGAGAATAAGATGAAGATAAGCAAGCTGGACGAGTAATACGGCAGCTTGGTGAAGTGTTCGGGAAGCTCGATTAGCTGAACGAGGTAAGACTCAGATATAGCCAGCTCACACTGAGTAGAGTCAGCTCCCTAAGCTGGACTACTAGCGCACTCAGCTGGACCAGCTAGGGATCAGCTCATCTTATCTGGACTGAGTGTTTAGGTTTTGGGCCGTTGGGTCATGTCTGGGCGGTTACCGGGCCGCTTGGTAGGCCAGGGCTGGCCATGGGCCGATGGGCTGTTGTGGTTGGGCCATGGGTTGGTTAACTATTTTGGGCTTAGGTCTGATGTGTCTAGAAGTGGATGGACGTGCCTAGATGTGTCTGGAAACTTCCAAGATCCAATAGATGCGATCTGGACCGTTGATTGTAATCGATGGCCAATATCTGGTCCGAAAAGATCCTTGGAAGAGATGTGTCCTTTTGGACATGGCCTTTGGTTTCCTATATATAGGAGGGCTGACCAGAGATCAGATCATTAGTCTTAGACAAGGGACAGACGTCCTCAAGAGATCCCCCAATGATAAAACGAGGATCCAAACCATAAGAGCAGGATCCGAAATCCAAGCCATAAGGGCACGATCCGGGTTCATGGTTAGTATGGCTTGAGCCATATGAGGCCGTGGATTATAGAAGTCATTAGGGCCTAGGGGAAGACCTATTCCTTAAGGGAAATAGGCACAAAGGACCAAGGTTCCAAAGGATGCCGCCAAAGGGTGCCATCAAGGGATGCCACCAAAGGGTGCCATCAAGGGATTCCACCAAGGGGTACCATCAAGGGATGCCACCAAGAGGTGCCATCAAGGGATGCCACCAAGGAGTGCCATTAAGAGATGCCAACCAAGGGGTCCCATCAAAGGATGTTACCAAGGGGTGCCATCAAGGGATGACACCAAAGGTTGTCATTTAAGGGATGCAAGTGTATCGTGATCCAAGAAACGCGAGTACACCATGATCCAAGAGGTACGAACGTATCGTGATCCCAGAGGTACGAATGTGTCGTGATCTATCGGGTACGAACGTATCATAACCCAAGGGGTGTGAATGGGTCGTGAACCAAGGGGTGCGAATGTGTCTGGACTGAAAGGGTACAAACAATTCGGGACCGAATGGTTCGGGTCTGAAAGGGTGCGAATGGTTCGGATCCGAAAGGGTGCGAATGTTTCAGGTCCGAAAGGGTGCGAATGATTCGGGTCCGAAAGGGTGCGAATGGTTTGGGTCCGAAATGGTGCGAATGGTTCAGGTCTGAAAGGGTGCGAATGGTTCAGGTATGAAAGGGTGCGAATGGTTTGGGTCCGAAACGGTGCGAATGGTTCGGGTCTGAAAGGGCGCGAATAGTTCAGGTCCGAAAGGGTGCAAATGGATCGGTCTGAAAGGGTGCGAATGGTTCGTGTCCGAAAGGGTACGAATGATTCAGGATGCCACTTGCATTGTGTAGGGCGTGACTTACATAGTGGCAATTGGTTGTTAGCTGAGTCAATGCTTTATATAAGGGGTGATGGTCTATCTTGAATAGTGTTGAGTTCATTAACCATGGGCAATGCTTTGAGGGTCAAACAC